TCTATGTCATGCACCTAATAATTTCCAAAATAATTTCCTAGATTATTATCTTGAGGCCATATACTAGAAACCACACAGTGAACGTTGGGGAGACCCACTGAGGAGGCAAACCCCTGGTTGCTGTGTCACGCAGAAGCAGAAACATCGGCCAACCACGTGTCTGCGCTTTTACCTAGTATCCATGCGAATGTACGGTGTAACATCATGAAAATATATAGATATATATGTGGAGTGGATCCGACAAAGCAAAAGGAGACCGGAATGGCCATTTCTGACTTATTACCTGTCATCAGCAAGTCATACCCAATCTCAAGGGTTTGGAGCCCCGAGATTCGATCCGGGGACCTTTGGCCATTGAGTTTAGCACTTTACTATTGCACTACGAGCTCGCTGCTTTGTCGGTTGTGATCATGAATATGCTGGAAGTGGGGTGTCCATCCGATCTATCTGAATAGGGCAAATACATACTTGTCCCGAAAGTACCTTGAGGCTCGTACTTAAGTGATTTCAGGCTGTCGCTTAGCGACCTCAGACATATGATGGAGTTGATCCGAAAAAGCAAAGGGAGACCGAAATGGCCATTTCTGACTTATAACCTGTCATCAGTAAATCATGCCCAATCCCAGGTTCGGATCATTCGAGGTTCGAATCTGTAACCTTTCAATCATATACTGTAACACTCGATTAGTGCTCAAGAGAAGTGTGGTTTTTTCGGTTGTGGCCGGAAAGATGTTGATAGTGTGAGGCTCACCGATCTAGTTACGAAACCTGTATGTCCCGTTTTGCGTTGGCGCTCACTGTAGAGCCCCCTTTATCGATTCCACCTTATGACAAAACCAAAATACCCTACACGTGTTTCGCCAATGTTTCTGCTACGGCATGTAAGTGTTTTGGGCTCTCTCTGGGATAATAACGAAGAAAATTATTTCATAAATTGGTAATTGTGAGTTGGGTGACCGAAATAGGACTTTCTGCAAATTGCCGATCGGATCCCATGACAGGTTATCTCAGTCACCCAACTCCATCTCATGCAACTAATAATTTCACAATTGTTACCGGGATACATATATGACACGGAATCAACGAAGACCAGGGAGACCGGCTAAATAGCCATCATCAGCTAGTCATACACAATCCTGGATGTGGATCATCTGGGATTTGAACCCGCTACCCGTAGCCTAATGGTAGAGTGTTACAATCCATGACCTAATGGTCATGAGTTCGAATCTCGGGTGACCCACACCCGATGATGGCTAACAGGCCAGGAATTTCCAATCCTGTCTCCCTTGTCCTTGTCGGGTCAATTTCCTCTACCATTTGCATGTCAAAATGGAATATAGGGCATCGCCGATCCACCGCTAACTGATGTTCGTGTATACGGGTTGAGGCGAATTATCTATTTTGGCAAAAACGAATTCAATCATAGCTACCAATTGACTATTCGACGGTGCCAACCAGCAGCTTGAAAGTAAACGTGGTGAGTTGCGCATCCAGCACATAGCCAATTAGGTTCTCCACACCATTTTCTCTATCAACATAGCCAGCCCTACCTCATAGTGGCTGCGTTAAGTAGCTGACATTCGTGCAATACCGTTGGCTCGAAGTTTCCATCTATCTTCCGATGACCTGCTCCACATTTTTTCTCGTCTCGGCTCGCAAGCTTCAACACGCATGCCTTTCGAGATCACATTGCGACATATGAGTGGTTTTAGGAAACATCAGACTCTCGGCTCAAAATAGGTGTCTAACTCTTTGCAGAATTTTGGAGGGAGGCGGGTGAGAGAATTTAAGCGTCAACCAACAAAATGAACAAATTTGGTAGACGACGTACGTTGAGGACACAGCAGACTTCTTCTTGAATTCTTCGTAAAAATGTTCTTCCAGACCGAGACTGAAGACGGTACGCTCAGCCGAAAGGGCCTCTTGCACGACCTGTGAGCCCATTACTTCGTGTTGGCCAAGAGCTGCCCTACTTTGTTTCATCTGCAACGTTTTAATGCAGAAAAGTTCGGCGTTTTTATCAATCACATATAAGTTAGCTTTAAAAAAGACGGCGAAAGGTATAGGGAAGCTGAAAATCGACAATTTTACATCGAATGATAACGCAATGCCGGTTGTATGCCTAAATAACAAAATAAATGAATAATATGTCTTTATTGATAGAGGGGTTTGGCAGATAAGAATATACAATTTGACTCAATTGTGAAAAACTCGGCGACCTCGGTGGGATGCGAATCCATGTCAGTAAGGGGAAGCCCTAAAATAGCCAACGCTATAGGCAACTGAGCTATGACTGTCCCACCGAAAGCCATGAGTTTTATCACAATTGGGTTACGGTTCGCTGCGGGGACTTTGTGGTTCAGTTGGCAAGACCTTTGGCTGTACTAAAGCCTTCCCCTTGCTAGCGTAGAAGAAGAAGAAGATTATTATTATTATTATTATTATGCGATCGCTGTGAGAGGACTTTTATTCGCCTGA